AATAAAGTGCTGATCGGCAGTATACTATGCCGACCGGTCATTGATTTTAAGAAACCATGGCCGGTGGCACCCCTAAACAGCCGATGATGCTAGGGAAGGCCGGTGGAATGTGAGGGTGGCCAACAAGCCACTCTCCTCCCTTCAAGGCAAAAACACAAGTGTTTGTGTCAAAACCAAAACGGAACAGTCAGGTCGAGAGATCCTGAGGCGAGGCGCGCGGCAAGACTCCCGGGAAACTCAAGACGAACACAAACATGGATAATCACCGAGTGTTCAAACGGTGACGTCCAAGTCTTGAGGACGTCAAAAATGGTGTCTACAGTTGCCCCCTCTTTGACAGAACTCGAAAGTCATAACAATGACGGGAGTTGAATGGGGAGTGAATGTCAAAGCCCAGAGACGACCCATTTTTGACAAGGCCGAAGACTTAGACAAACATGCAAGGCAAACAAGGTATGCGCCCAAAGGCAGGGGCAAGATGCAAGACAATACACAGAGCCGAACATAACTTATGATCATGCAAAGAAAACCGTAATGAAGTATACATGCGACAGTTTTAAGCTAGCATACACCAAACTACACTACAATGCAGAAAGGGTGTAAGAGAATTAAGCAGTTCTCGATACGTCTCACTCGGAGGATACAAATACCTGTGCGGCTCGTCTGGTCGCGCGCACCTCAAATGAACCGTACATACAATATCGTGCCTGCAAAGAAAACAAACTTAACAGGTACAATATCGTTAGCAACATGCATAATAGTGTGCTCGAAATACGTGACAACGCAAAGCGAGTGGGAAGCATAACAATGCTGTGAAGGCACAGATATGTAAGTGGAGCACACGGTCTATGCGGGAAACGAAATTGATTACAAGGATGTGGTCTACACAAGCAATGAAATTGATTACAAACATGCGGTCTACGCAAGTAACATAATTAGCATGCAGTCTACGCGAGCAAAACATGCGGTCTACGCAGGTAATGAAATTAACATGCGGTCTACGCAAGTAATGAAAGTAATTACAAACATGCGGTCTACGCAAGTAAAGTAATTAACATGCGGTCTACGCAAGCAAAACATGCGGTCTACGCAGGTAATGAAATTGATTACAAACATGCGGTCTACGCAAGTAGTGTAATTAATTACAAACATGCGGTCTACGCAAGTAACGTAATTAGCATGCGGTCTACGCAAGCAAAACATGCGGTCTACGCAGGTAATGAAGTTGATTACAAACATGCGGTCTACGCAAGCAATGAAATTAATTACAAACTTGCGGTCTACGCAAGTAAAGTAATTAACATGCGGTCTACGCAAGCAAAACATGCGGTCTACGCAGGTAATGAAATTGATTACAAACATGCGGTCTACGCAAGTAGTGTAATTAATTACAAACATGCGGTCTACACAAGTAACGTAATTAGCATGCGGTCTATGCAAGCAAAACATGCGGTCTACGCAGGTAATGAAATTGATTACAAACATGCGGTCTACGCAAGCAATGAAAGTAATTACAAACATGCAGTCTACGCAAGTAAAGTAATTAACATGAGGTCTACGTAAGCAAAACATGCGGTCTACGCAGGTAATGAAATTGATTACAAACATGCGGTCTACGCAAGTAGTGTAATTAATTACAAACATGCGGTCTACGCAAGTAACGTAATTAGCATGCGGTCTATGCAAGCAAAGTGAATAAAGAGAAACTTGAACACATGTGAGTGAAAACATATCATTCATAATGCAGGGATGTAAAATACTGTAACACAGCATAATTGAAACGATTTGTGGGAATCCTCAAGACATGAAAAGGATACGGGAAGGGACGTTCTTCGTACGTATCGAGCATCGTTCACAGAAGTTGTGGCCTGAGGTCAACCCGAAGGTCCATGTTTCAAAAGTGTGCTTCCCCGCATGGTGTCAAGTAATGAAGGTGCCAAGCCATGTAGTTGACCCGAACAAAGGCGCGGAAGGTGCGTTGACCGTAAGGGGAGTTGCTACCCTGTCATTGAAATTTTTACTTTCCTTTTTACTGGTAGTTTAAGCACATTGCACTGCCTCGGGCAGGTTTTATTCTTTCTCAAAATTACACATTTTTCAAAGCATGTGGCGGGAATGAAACAACCATTTTGTTCAAAAGACGTTGCATTTGTAAACTTTCTATGCATCGCATCGCAAGGTATCACAACACAATGTGAACGAAATTGAATCTATTTTGAACACCGAGTATGTGCATCGTAATAATCAGGTAGTGAACCGACTTACAACTCGATAAGCAAAACAAAGGCATGATATAACCAAACAAGTGTGAGTACGACTCGATAAATAAACCAAAAACTCAAAGAGAGTGAAATACAACTCGATAAGCAAATGTACAACAACATGATAAGCAGACAGGTGTGACTCCGCAAGAATCAATCACTGGGGGAGGGATCGGAGGTGGTGGAGTTCCCCAATCCCTAGCATAAACAGCTCAGGGAACCAGGAGGAAGCCCATCGGCCAGGGGTAGAGGCCATCGGCCACAAGGAATGGCCATCGGCCATAAATTTGTTCGGTCGGCAAAAGTTAATGGCCGGTCGGCATAATGTTCGGCCGGCCGGCTATGAATGAAGGAATCACCAAAATGTTGACACCTGTCCTCCACCCAACCTTATCTCCTACAAAAGACCCCAACTTCGTAGTTTTTCTCAATTCCACACTGATTTGCTTTAATGGAAGAGTTTCTTGTTCAAAATCTCGCAGCTTGGATTGCTAGCTTGGATGGCTCGGAAAAGTTGAATTTCCGGGGTTTCGGCATAAATGCACTATTCACTCTGGGTCGTACCCCATTGCACCTCCCGTTTCTCCATGCCGCGGCAAGGTTTTGGAATCCGGTGACGCATGTCTTTAGCTTCGCTGGGCAAGAGATATGTCCTACCTTTGAAGATTTCCGAGCCTTAATGGAGTCCGAGCGCGAACGAAATCGATCATAAGCATGCGGTCTACGCAAGTAAAACATGCGGTCTACGCAAGTAAAACATGCGGTCTACGCAAGTAAAACATGCGGTCTACGCAAGTAAAACATGCGGTCTACGCAAGTAAAACATGCGGTCTACGCAAGTAAAACATGCGGTCTACGCAAGTAAAACATGCGGTCTACGCAAGTAAAACATGCGGTCTACGCAAGTAAAACATGCGGTCTACGCAAGTAAAACATGCGGTCTACGCAAGTAAAACATGCGGTCTACGCAAGTAAAACATGCGGTCTACGCAAGTAAAACATGCGGTCTACGCAAGTAAAACATGCGGTCTACGCAAGTAAAACATGCGGTCTACGCAAGTAAAACATGCGGTCTACGCAAGTAAAACATGCGGTCTACGCAAGTAAAACATGCGGTCTACGCAAGTAAAACATGCGGTCTACGCAAGTAAAACATGCGGTCTACGCAAGTAAAACATGCGGTCTACGCAAGTAAAACATGCGGTCTACGCAAGTAAAACATGCGGTCTACAGGTTGTGGACTCTTGCCCAGCATATTCAGCTCGCGGCTACTTCTTCTGGCACCGTCTAGTCAATGCCCTGGATGAGGGATGGTGGTTCGCTTGGATGTGCCGCTTGTCCGCAGACCGTATTGCTTGGCGGTGCCCTTGGCTGAGCCTTCCGGCAATGAGTTACAATATGCCCCGGCAGACTGCAATTCAATTGATTGGTCATACTCACTGTGTATTCTATTTCCCATTTCGGATTCGACGCCAATTCGGCCATGATCAGACTTGCCCGCCAGAGGGGATAGAGTATCCTGCTGCATTCCCAGCCCGAGGCACACAGCTTGCTTGGCAGGCCACCGCGTAGAGGACGAGAGAACTCCTAGCCCCCGCTCCTACTTTCAGTTGCACTTTGTCTGATGAGTGCTTGGATTGGCTTAATGAAGAGGCACAGGTCGGGCCCATCTTGGCATCAGAAGCTTCGACCAGCTCTGGGAGGGGGAGCAGGAGCACCTGACTTGACTATGCCCCGGATTTATTGCTTTATTAGTACTTTCAAGTTTTCTTTATAAATGTAATAAAAAAAGCAACTTCGATTGTATGCAAGAGCAGGAAAACTCTGTTTTGAAATCAATGAAATTGAAGGTTGTGGTACTGAAAATTTTCCGCTTAGGTCCAAAAATGGTCAAAGTTGTAAAAAGATTATTTTGAACAAAGTCAGCTCTTATTGAAACTTCTCAAAATCTTTTTTGATGTGGATCAAAACTGGACATGCTTGAGATTTGTCACCGAGATGCACAACCCCGGATCCCTGCAACTGGAAAGTTGCCCCTAGTCTGAAGAGTACTGCAGCACTGCGCAGCAACGGAAAGTTGCCCCTAGTCTGAAGAGCACCGCACCGGAGATCATAACCGAACCCTTGAAAGCTGGATAGACAAAGATGACCGAGATGATCAAATGGACAAAGTTGATCGGGGAAAAGGGTTATGGCTGAACTCCAGGATGAAGTTGCCTACGTATCCCAAAGATGGGAATCAAGCCTTACGTAGTTCAGGCTCAAGTTCACTCGGGTATTTTTACTCTCTTTTTGCGCTCCAACTTTTGCCAAAGCCGCCCTTTGCGGGTTTTCATCCTTGCGAGCTCAGTTTTTATATTTTCCAATTTTTTGTGCTCTAACGGTTTGACACCAGATCAGTACACCTTTGCATCAGTCTTTAGAGCGTGTGCCACTTTAGCAACATTGCAGCAGGGCAAGCAAGCAAAATACTTCGTTGTTTGTCTTTGCATTATCAGCTGCTTATATGTATTGACCCTTTCTCATCTATAAAAATTATACTAATGCCCTATTCTAAAGGTGGTTTTTGAGTGTGAAAGTATTTTTCTTACATTTTCATAGTTAAAATAATTAAAATATACATGTTCATTCATGTAGGGAATAAGTCGATATTCACCAATAATTAATAAAATTTGGATATAATTAACCCAACAGTTCGAATTTTGATGCATTTCCACTTGAAAGTTTGTTTCTCAAATTTGCAGCAGAAATAGTTTTTGGAAAAATATTTCAATTCTCTCCTCATTTCATGCTCTTTCATAATGCATCACAAGTTGCTTACAATTGAGAAAGAAATTTGATATTTTGAGAAACAATTGAGAAAAAAAATTTCAATTATTTGGTAGCTATTTATTATCTTTTTGCTTTTCAATCTCCCATTTATCTTAATTGCTGATGTGGCAGGGAAGGATAATCAACATAGCATCAATTGTTGGTCTTGTTGGTAACGTTGGGCACGCCAATTATAATGCTGCAAAGGCAGGGGTACTTGGCCTCACAAAAACCATGGCAAGGGAATATGTGAGTAGGAATATTAATGTGAGTTTTCCAGATATGTTTCATTTCATTCTTGTAATTAGACACAAGAATGACTTTTTATCTGTTGTAAAATGACTTTTTGTGATGATATGTAACTTTCTGTATGAGTGATTGGTTGATTGACACAATTAAGAGAAATCATTGAGTTAGTTTTTATCTATTTTTTGGGATTAATTAGGGACACCAGAGTTCATGGCTTCAGAAGTATATGCTGAAGAATAAAATGAATTGGTTGATAGCTTATTTCTAGTTAATGCCTAGAAATAAATTATTTTTCTGCCTTTTTCTGCTATTTCAAAGCCTCAGAAATGACTGATTTGTTTAAATTGTTTTCCAGGTACAAAACATTCTTCAACAGATGGTGAGTTGTAATGTAGATCTTATGTTTAACACTTCTACAGTTATTGATTTATTGATTTGGCTTCCATGTTCTGATGCAGGTATCTAGACCAGTGAAGACTACAGATTCTATGCTATATCAGTTGAGTTCAGTGAATTTAGTAATAAAGACAAGACATTAAATTAAATCATAACTCATGGGGTTTGTCTTGATGTTTTTGCTATTATTTTTTGACAAATGTTAAAACATGGTTTGTGGATATGTTATTTTTTAGTTAATGGTGATTGGATATTAAATTGAATGGGAAAGTGAATTAATGATATATTTGCTAATTGACAGCTTTTCGTATAATCGGCTCTTTTTGACAAATGTTCATTTGAATGGAAATAGGAGTTATTGTTTTATGTTAGTGTTACTTTTTAATTTTATTACATGTATTTTTTTAGTTTAACCACATAAAATTAGCATAATTTAAAAAAAAAAACAATCAAAAACATAAAGATGGCATTTTTCAAAACCCCACACTTAACGGTTAGTTTTTTAAAATTAAAAAAAGGCTATGACGACGTTTTTGAAACGTCGCTAAAAGTTGACAGACGTCATTTTCTAATTATGTATAACATTCAGAGGCGTTTTTTAAAAAACGTCGCCTATAACAAATTAACGACGTTTCTTAAGTGCCGCTAAAAATTGTCATGACGTCACTTTGGTTTATGTATCACATTTAGCGGCGTTTTGATAAACGCCGCCTATAACAAATTAACGACGTTTTTAAGGCGCCACAATGCTATAGCGACGGCCGCGTCCTCGACGTTTGGTGCTAAGCGTCACAAAAAGAAATAGTGGCGTTTTTGACACTTATCGTGGCGTTTTTTAAACGCCGCTAAAAGCTGAATTTCCTGTAGTGATATTATTGTATCAGCGTATATGCCCAGCCAATGATATGTTATAATTTGTTTAAGGGCATTTACACGTGTTAAATTCTAATTAAAACTTTTTAGATATTTAAGTCTCATTGAATTTTTAATAATCAGAATTGCACTTCAAATAATTGTTCATCATTTAAGATTATTTATAAAGAAACACGATGATTTAACATTTATTTTGATTTTCAAAATTTTAAAACATCAACTTTCAAATTAAAAAAACTTATAAAAAAATGTGTAAAAAAAAAAGGTTTTGTTTTTAAATTGAAAAAATTGAATTATTTTTTTGTGCAAAACTGAAAATCTTGTGTTTATAAAGGAACATGATGATAGAATATTGATGTACAAAATTAAAAAAATTAAAAAAAAAACTTTAAAAATGAAAAAATTGATAATGTTCTCAGTTTTAAAACTGAAAAAAAAAAAACTATTAGGTGTGTTTGGTTTGAGTTTTCTGGATTAAGTTTTTTGAAAACTGAGTTATTTTGTTTTCGTATTCTTTTATTTTTAGTGAATATTTTTTAAATTTTTAATATTTTTTTTACTTTTTTAGATGCACCTTAGTTAGATACATCTAAAAAGTAAAAAATTTGTAAAAAAATATTTTTAAAAATTAATAAATACATAAAAATACAAAAAAGTACTGAATTCTTGCATTTTTATGTATTTTTGGTATTTAGTGAATTTTGAAAAGATTTTTTTTACAATTTTTTTACTTTTTAGGTGTATTTATGTTAAATGTGTCTAAAAAGTAAAAAAATTACTTAAAATATTAAAAAAATTCACTAAAAACAAAAAAACACGGAAAATTAGAAAGTAAAATTTTCTGAAAAGTGTTTCTAAAAAATAAAAACAAGCAAGCTGAATCAATATTCTCGATTTTATTGGATAGTTGAATCAAACCTATAAGGTGAACAATCTTGCTACAGACCTCTAATTAGAGGTCATTCCATATAGCTCTAATGAGCTGTCCAGGAATAAATAAAATTAAAAAAAAAAAAAAAACAAACAAACAGTGAAGTAAAAAACAAAAATAAGAAAAGAAAAAGACAAATTAGAGGTGCATTAGAGGTGTTTTTTTAGAGGTCCAAATCATTTTTCATAAGGTGAAAGGCAAAACATTTAATCTCATGCTCTATTTTTTTTTTTTCATCAGTTAGTGAAACAATTATCTGGAACATTATTATGCAAAATTGATAATGTTCTTAGTTTTAAAAATTGAAAAAAACTGATAATATTCTCAGTTTTACTAAATAAGACTTGTTGGTTTAAAAAATCTTAAATAAAATCGGAGCTACCATAACACTTGTAAATAAGACTTTTAAGTATTTAACATTGTGTAAATTCTTAAAAATATATGTAAGCTATCTCTGAAAATTGTATAATTTAAACACACAAATTCATGTAAATTAACTCATAAAAATTTAAAAAATAAAAACTTAACATAAGTTTTTACAAAAATACGCATGTCACCTCACAAAAATTGCATAATTTAAACATAAATTCACATAAGTTAACTCATAAAAATTTTAAAAAATATAATTTAGTGTAAGTTCTTACAAATATATATAAGTCATCTTACAAAATCACATAATTTAACTCAAATTCACAAATTCATTTAAGTTATATCACAAAACATGTCAGATTCGTTCAAAAGTACGTAACTTAAGACCAAAAAATACATAAATAAATAGAGTTGCAAACTCAAGAATTATTACGCTCCGTTTGGGAAGAATTATTTGGGACTTTTTTTGGCTATTTTAATCACAAAAAATAAAATAGGCTATTTTAGTCACAAAAAACAAAATATCACATTTAACTCATAATTATTACACTATTTTCTCACAAAAAAAACTAAAAAAGCCGAAAAATGTTTCCCAAACTAAACTTTTTAGCCCAAGTTAAAATAGTCAAAAAAACCAAAAAATCAATCTACTTCCCAAATGAAGCCTTAGACATATAATCAATATAATTTTTTTAAAAAACAGAATAATTACTCATGCATTAAAGGTACAAACTACAAAAAATGGGTAATGTTATTGGGACTTTATTATCTTTGCTCCATGTAACAAATGTTTCACGTACCCAATTTTAAATTTATTTTATTTAGTTTTTATTTTTCCCACTCTAAACAATACACAGTTTTTAATTATCTTGTTACATAATTTTTTTTTAATGGAACCATTCGAGAAGGGGATGATTTAGCTAATTCAATAATCAATTACACGGACAGCAGCCTTGCGTGATATGCTAAGCATTCGTTTAGCAATAATTTTTTTAGTTAGTTTTTAACTTTTTAAATTTTTTTAGCTTAAGATTTTTTTATTTGTTTGGTATTTTTTATTGGCTTTTTTAGCTTTTTAGTTTTGGAATAGTGAATTTTTTTTTGTCTTTTTATGATTTTTGGTTTCTTGTGATTTTTTGACTTTTTTTTGTCTTTTTGTGATTATTTAGCCCAACATGTTTACCAAACACCACCTAAATAAGAAAGAAATTGATATTTTTATGCTGTATTTGGTTAAGAGATTTATGAAAAAATTTGAAAATAAAAAAGAAAAGGAAAAGGTATGTGAAACTATATAACATATAAGTATATTTTATTTTTATTCCACTTACCTGTTCACTTTTTCTTTCTAAATCTTTTCTCAAATCCCTAGCCAAACACAGCTTTATGGAACACTCTGAACCACGAGTTCTGGTAAGTCAGTCAGTCCCCTCAGATTCGTAACCGAAGTAGAGATTTGTAGGTCTCTTCTTCAATCATCATGACCCCACTCATGACATTTTATCCATTTTTTTTAATAAATAAATATGACATATCTACAAGTAAAAATAATAACCGAGAAGTTCAATCAGATGTTTGAAAAACATTTTGCTTTGGCGTAAATCAAATGGCGTGTTTGCTGGACTTTGTAAAAAGTATAATGGAATATGATTTCTCCGTCCAAAAGCATGATGTACTAAAGTGAAAGTCTCCAACCCATGAGCATCTATCTCTACGGACCTCTCTTCCAAGCCAAGCTACTCCGGTAAAGTTCTTTCTGTAAATTGAATGTGAACTAGGGTCATTCTTTTATTTTCTTCTATCAGAAGTTATTGCCATGCCACCCGTGATTTCTTGTCGTTCTCCCTTCGGCTCTTTCCTTCCCTTCTTATGAAATGGCCGATTTTGTAATTTTAACAGAAATGATGGACCTCCAATCTAGTTTACTGAAAACCGGAGATAAAATATTTTTATGTGACAGGATTTGATGGAGCCCAATTCACGTTATCTATTCTTCTATTTATTATTTATTATATAAAAATAAGTGAGACTAAAATTTAATATGATTGAATACTTAATAAATTAGGCCTCATTTCTAAGGTCTTACTTCCGCATTTATCACATAACAAAACACAAATGGACAACTATATAGGGTACAATAGCTTGGAAAATTTATGAACAAAACAATTCTCCTAGGAAACGATGCATGTGTGTTTGTGGGGTTTTTTTTTTTTTTTTCACTTGATAATGTTTGAACCATTACGAAACATGGTACGACTTGAGATATCATATCACACAGACGGACCATAGGCTAACATACATGTAATGATATTCATCGAAGGGATAAATTTTCATTGCATGTCACAAATGAGTTTTCACTATCCTACTATTCATTTCTGTCAGTCTCGCACAAATTGCACTGCAAGCAGCATTCAATGATTTTCGCTTTGAAGGTTACTATTGCAATTTTCTCATAAATGTAGTTATGATTATAAAAAAAAAAAAAAAAAGAGAGAATCTCAAAATATGATTTTTTTTATATTATTTTTTAATTTTTTTGGGAGTGATTTTATAAAAGGATATGCTTAACTACGGTGGCGGAACCAAAAAAATAAATCAAAGGGGACACTTCTTAATTACAATACTGAAAATATTTACAAAAATATTTCACAAAAATTTTTATGATCGACTTCAACAAAGATAAAATAAATAAATAAATAAAATCAGTGTGTTTGGTTTGAGTTTTTTAAATTAAGTTTTTATTTTTTATTTTATTTTATTTTTTTTTGTTTTTAGTGAATATTTTTAAAATTTCAAGCATTTTTTTTAAAAACTTTTTTAGATGCATGATGTATCTAAAAAATATATATATTTGTGAAAAAATATTTTAAAAAATTAATAAATACATAAAAATATGAAAAATGTACTTGTTTTTTGTATTTTTTTATGTTTTTGGTATTTAGTGAATTTTTTAAAGTTTTTTTCTCAAAAATTATACTTTTTAAGTATATTTATGTTAGGTGTGTCTAAAAATTAAAAAAATTACTTAAAATATTAAAAAAATTTAATAAAAACAAAAAAATACGAAAAACAAAACGTAGAATTTTTTGAAAATTGTTTTTAGAAAACTCAAACCAAACAAAGTGAATATATTATTTGTAATTAGTGTGTCATGGACAACATTAAAAAAAGTCATGGATATAAAGTTTTAAAATAAATTATATAATGATAAAGTTATTTTTTACACAAAATATGCATAAAAATTCAATATAATAGTCATACCACGCAATCATTAACATGTGATATTTCTAACCAATAATAAAGAAACACATGGAGGATAAACCCTGCATATTAAATGTAACTAACAATTCAATAAATTTTATATTTTCATTGAGATTAATTATATTTGCATATCAATAATGATAAAGATTACCATCATATTAAAATTTTCATAAATAATAATATTATAGTCTCTTATAATCATTATTGTTCTTATAATTTAAAAAATATCATTGATATTTCACTCTAAATAATATTTTTATATAAAATATTTTCTTTATATTTGTGAAAAAAAAGAAAATCCAAAACTCAGGGGCACATGACCACTCCCAACCCTCCTTCCCTCCGCCGCTGCTTTACTACTTGCCGGTGGTTTGACATAAATTAGCAAGTACATATTTTTTATCTGTTTATTTTTTTAAATTATATTATCTTTTTATTTTTTTCGTACATTTAAATCATTCCAAACCAATTAAAGGATCACAACTACTCTGATGTGTCCTACAATTTACGCTTAGGCAGGTGAAAAGATGTTAATCTGTCTTTTACTAGGACATAAATAAAAGGTAAAAATGTGCAAATGGCCAATTTTTATTTTTTTTTAAATAAATCATATCAACAAGTCTAACAACATTCGATTTAAATGTAAAATAATCACATTGTCAATAACTTTTTAAAACAATGTAAGTCCTGACCTCGCACTGTAAGAAATAAAAAAAAAAAAATGACTTTACGATTTGTTACCACTCAACTTGCATCTGTCCACTCCTAAATATGGGCCAGAGACATTACTTGGAGCAGTTAAAAAACAGCCAAACATTGAGAGCATCTTCAACTACATCCTTTTTTTAAAGGGGATTTATTTTTTAAGAGGATGAAAATAATATTTTTTATTCAAAAAGTAAATATAAAAGAGGTCATTATTTATTCAAATTTCAACCACAAACCTTCATTTCTTTCATTTAAACTCTAATCAGAAAGTAATATATTTAATATTATACTCATTTTAAAGATATGATTTCATACTTTTTATTGATGTCAATTTTATAAAAATTAAATTTACACATTAAAAGTTATTTTGAATATAATAAAAAAATATAGAGTGAATAGTATTTTAGAATTTCTTTCATTTTGGTCATCATCCCTTCATATTTGAAGGATCAATCCATCTTCCTTCATTTAGGAGGAAGAAATGAAGGATGAGTTAGAGCTCAAAATTAAAAAAAGATCCTTCCTATTTAAAATTTTGAAGGATGAATTGGAAATGCTGATAAAGAATCAAATCGTCAAAGCTGTTCTGTTATATCAACATTTCTACAGTAATTTTTATTTTAATATATATATAATTATTAAGTTCCTATACTATTAATTAGGCACATCACATAAAATTCTTAAAAGACGAAATAATTACTTCGAAAACACACCACAAACACAAACACTACCCTCTCTCTCCACTATATATATATATAGCACTCTTATCTCATTCACCATACCCATACGGAAAGAGGAGAAATATTTTCATTGTTTCTCAAAACATGAATTACAACTGCGTTCTTCTCTCTCTTATCCTCCTCACCGGAGTCTCTTCTCCGGCCGGCGAGGCCGCTCAAGAGTCCTTCGCCTGCGACCCGCGAGACGCGAAGACGAAGGAGTACGGGTTTTGCCGGAGATCTCTGCCGGTGCCGGAGAGAGTGAGTGACGTCATTGGGAGGCTGACATTGCAGGAGAAGGTGAAGCTGCTGGTGAACAGTGCGGCGGCGGTGCCGCGGCTGGGGATAAAAGGGTATGAGTGGTGGTCGGAGGCACTTCATGGAGTTTCCGATGTGGGTCCAGGGACTAAGTTCGGTGGGGACTTCCCTGGGTCCACTAGCTTCCCTCAAGTCATCTCCACCGCTGCTTCTTTCAATGCATCCTTGTGGGAACAAATTGGACGGGTAAGATTTCTCAACCTCACCGAATCAGTTTGGACAATTTGGACATATCAAAATTAACTTGGGAAAGACTATGGTAGACCACTCACTCAAAGGTGTGTGTATTGGTTTCATAAATTTATATTTTTTGAGTAATAATTAAAATAAGAAAAATTATAACTAAATAATAGATGAGATAAAATTAAAGATTTCATAAGTTATAATTAAAATGAGATCATAATAAATAGAAGAAAATTAGTAATAATTAAAGAAAAAAATAACATAATTTAAAATGCATATAATAAAAAATGTGTATAATAATATTTTCCAATTAATTTTATTACTATTGGTTGAACTGACGACATTGGGTAGGTGAATATGTACAGTATAATACATGCATATAATTTTTTTTATTTAAAAAGAGATAAATGTAAGAATATGAATTATTAATTTATTTTTTTATTATCACGTGATTTGAAAAGATTTACAGAGAAAAAATTAAGTGGATGAAATATTTTGCAACTAACATTGATAATGTTGTCTAGATAATTGTTGGGCAGAAAAATTAAAGTGAGTTGAATTTACTATAAATGTGGCCCCACCTCACCATACTAATTTTGTATTCTTTTCGTTTCAAATAATTTTTTTTATAGTATAATTATTATATTTTAAAAATGTTAATTTTTTAAAATTATCATTTAATAATATATTTTTTTAGAAATATTATTTGTCATAATTGTATTTTTTGTATTATTAATGAATTTAAAAAAATGACAAAATAAAAAATTTGTACTATTTTAATCCTTGATTCTTAAAAAAATTAATATTTTGAGATAATAAAAAATAAAACACCGTTTGAGAAGAAGGTTTCCAAGCTTTTTTGGCTATTTCAGTCATAAAAAACAAAATAGACTATTTTAGTCACAATAAACAAAACATCACATCTAACTTATAATCATGACACTCTTCTCTCACAAAAAAAGTCAAAAAAGTCAAAAAGTTAAAAAATTATTTTCAAACTAAGCTTTTTAGTTCAGATTAAAATAGTTAAAAAGTCAACTTACTTTTCAAACCGAGGCAAAATAAATGATTAATATTTTGAAATTAAAAGAACATATTTTTTTTCTCTTATTGTTTTTTTTAATTTCATTTATTTATTTATTTATTGTAGCTAGTATTATTCGTCACTAATTGGTTAAAAAAAAGGAAGTGTAATTGCACTTTTTCTTTCCAGCTAATCAGTTGTTATTTTTTTGTCAGTTAGGCTTATCAAATTAGATCTGATGGGGACAGATAGAGCATTGATTGCTATCTACATTCTATACTCAAAAAATAATAATAATTTAAAATAAAAAAATTATATATAGGTTGAAAGAAAAATGATTTATACCCACCGGCGGTCGACCCCCAGTGAGGTGCAAAATATAATATTTGTCAGGTTATCTCGGTGAAAAAAATAATTTTTTTTTTTTTTCAGTTGACAGCCAGTGGGGATTTGCCATCTCACTGGGGTGCGACCCCACTGGGGTATAAGGCACGGCTGTAGGTTGAAATTGAGAAAAAAATTATAAGCACATGGTGTACAAATGTGTTTATAGTGTGGGGGCAAATGAAAGATCTTGAGGTGCAAAGTCACACTTGCATCTCTTTATATTGGTAATTTTTTTTTCTCTAATTCTTAACTATATATAGTTTTTTTTAAAAAATATTTAATATATAATTCCAATTTTTTTAAGAAATTAGTTTTTTTATATACAAATTACAATATTAAATATTATTCACATTATATTTCTGAGTATGTTTCACTTCATAAATTCTATCTATATATCTTTTACTAATCCAAGTGACATAATATTATGGGGAATATTGTTTAGTACACTAAGGTATTGTTTGGCAAGTTAGTTTGTGGCTAAAATAGTTGCAAAAGACAAAATAGATATTTTAGTCACAATAAATAAAATATCACATCCAATTCATAATCATTACACTTTTCTCTCACAAAAAAAGTTTAAAAAGTCAAAAAACTCTTCTCAAATCAAGCTTTTTAGCCTAGGTTAAAAAGTCAAAAAAGCTAAAAAGCCACACCACTTTCCAAACGGAGGCTAATTAATTTTATTAATATATTTACAAATTTTATAGGGGACTCACAAAGTGATGGTGGGCTCAAAATTTGTGAATATATATAAATAAAAATATTAATATCTCTAACAATTGGTTGATTTGAGCAATTTGATAGGGGATAATTTATCTCGTATTTGTTTAATAAATTAAATAATGAATTATAAGAAATAATATGAAAGAAAACTGTTTTATTTATCAATTTCATGTTTTATTAAAATTGATAAGATTTGGTAAGAAATAAAAATAACCAGTTGTGTATGTTTGTTAAAAAAAAAAAATTAATTGCGGATTTTGATTTTTTTTAAAATAAATTAATTGTGTATGTTCATAATTACATATCATCCATTAAAATATAAAATAAATATCTCTCATTTTTCTATTTTACGTCCTACATGTTGTTGGGTCCATAGGACTCACGGGTTTTATTTCGATAACTCGAACCGTTCAATATATAGAGTTCGTAGAGCACTTTAACGCTCTAGTTCAATTTCGGACCAGAGAAGCCTAACCCTTTTCTTTCTAATTTAAATATGGCATTCAGAGAGTGTTTAGAATAATTTAAATAAGTATAGTTTTTGAATTTTTATAAAAAGATGTATAAAAAAAAAAGATAAAAAATATGATCTAAAAAAGATTATAAAAAAAAAACACTTTTATAGATTATGCCAAATAGGGCCTCACTATAATATAATCATCTTTCTTTCTTCACTAATATGAGAATCATCTCCTATAAAAAAACAACAAAAAAAAACAGAAAAAATGTGAATAATCAAATCTATGGATCATTTTGAAAACAGGCTAAAATAGTTAAAAATTAATTACAAAAATTAAATTTTTTTTGTTTTTATTATTTTTATTTTTTATAAAAAAATAAATAAATCATACATTTTTTGTAATGTGCACAAAGCAGCGCAATTTAGTAGGTTGACTGAGTAAGTAGGGTGGTGGTGCGCAGGCGGTGTCGGATGAGGCAAGGGCAATGTACAATGGAGGGATGGCGGGTTTGACGTACTGGAGCCCAAACGTCAACATATTTCGAGACCCGAGGTGGGGCCGTGGACAGGAAACTCCCGGTGAAGATCCTGTCTTAGCCGGTAAATACGCGGCCAGCTACGTCAAGGGTCTCCAGGGAAACGACGACGGTGACCGGTTGAAGGTAGCAGCTTGTTGCAAGCACTACACCGCCTACGATCTCGATAACTGGAGCGGAATCGATCGATTCCATTTTAATGCACGGGTAACAACTCTCTATCTCATATCTTTAGTTTCTGACCATTCATCTGATTTTAGTGGTCCCAACTTGGAGTGTGATTATTTGATAATCTATGGGCAATGTTCACATTATTCAACATATAATATTTGTCAGGTTATCTCTTATAAATCAGATAAAAAAATCTATAAATGTCATGGTAATATCTCATAACATTCTTTTCTTTTTTTTCTTTTTTTTTGTTAAAAAAAACAAAAAAAAAGTTACTAAATAACTTTTTTCATTAGGGATTGTTTGGAGTTATTTGGAATGTTCTAAATAAGTGCACTTTTTATTTTTTTAGACTAAAAAGTTGAGGGAAAAATATTGATGTTTGGGTTAACTTTTTGACTTTTTATAAAAAAAAATGTGTACTAAAAAATTGTATAAATTAGTGTGTAAAGGAAAATTAAGATTGGAAGTTTGTGCAGTCGTACTTTTTTATTTTTGGTGAATAGTGATAACTTTTTAATTTTTGAGTAACTTTTTGACTTTTTAACTTTTTTTCAACTTGTCAAACTTGGCCTAAGTGAACAATTTTTTATTTTTATTTTTTATAATCGGATGTGTAGATTAATTTACACGCTTCGATTAATTCTAGAGGACTAATTCCACCACTTGCCCTGTATGGACATGGTCCTAAAGAACAATTTAATGGTGTCTTAAAGTCTAATCTTTCTTTTTGTCAAGTGAATTTTTTCTCTATAAAAAAAATTATGTAATGAAATAGACAATACTTGAACCTAAATCCTAAATTTAATAAACAATACTTTTAATATTTAAGTAACACACAATATATATACTTTTAATTTAAAATCAAAATTTATATTTTATAAATTTAACAGTACAGCCACGGGTGAGCATACACCCTCTAATGGGCTATTATGCACGGGCCATGAATATGCTGTTTCTAGTTTTTGATTTTCTCAAACAAATTCACAATCCAAATGCATATCTCGTGAAGATTGTGGGAAGAGAGAGCAGACAGATTCTTCTGCATTTGCAGTATTATCTATGCAATTCCGATTCCGTGAGTCGCAGCAAGCCATGTCGGCACCAAATTCACTACAGGCTTTGTCGCCAGATGACTATTAGGATCAAGTACCCAAAACCAAAAAAAAAAAAATGCTTTGAGTATCAAATTTTTATTTGCTAAATGATATGTTATGACTATATGTTATTTTATATAATTTAAAAGTATAATCAATATTTGGTTTTAAATTATATAGTATTTTTCAGGTAAGCAAACAGGATATGGAAGATACATTTGATGTACCCTTTAGAGAGTGCGTGTTAGAAGGGAAAGTAGCGAGTGTAATGTGTTCATACAATCAGGTGAATGGCATCCCCACCTGTGCCGACCCTAAACTCCTTCGCCACACCATTCGTGGCAACTGGCGCCTCAATGGGTAAGCTCTTCACATTTCTGTTCTGTGTTTGTATAATTGACAACAGCCGTCTGATCTGATTAACCAACACAATTGGATTGCCTTTGCTTTGTGAAGTAAGCTATGTTTCCAACTTCCACCATTTTTTTTTTTTAATTTTTTCTTTAAAACCCACTATTATGCATTAATCGTTTCCATAAACCTTACAATAATTACATCCACCCTGTTAACATATCAAAAAAAAAAATGGTCACTATCTTCTTTCGGTTGTCTTTCATCCCAACTGCATTCTTAATTGCAACCATATAATGAGAATCTGTGAGTACGATTTTGAATCATTTGTGAAGAGAAGTAATAACTCTAGAAAAGTTTCGTTCTTTTTTCTATTCTCTGTACGAGAATCTTCCTTAAATTTAATATCCCAACACACTGTAAGGAGCAGAAATTGTGTGTCCAAATGATTCACACTAATTATGAGTTAATAGTTGATTATGAGAGAAGTTATTTGCTATATTTTGGCATGGCATACACGCCTCTTAGCCGTTGATAAGTGTCAAGTAATTTTAGACTCAATATGCTCTTTAACAATTGAGACTGCTATATATCGCCTAAAAAATTATCCAAATATTTTATGTGATTTCTCATGCATGATTATTTTCCAAATGTGATGGGCTATGCCTATGCCTATGGCATTTATTGTATAACTAGACATGAGAGATGAGGTAAATGCAGTGATAAATAGCATTTCTCTTGCTAATAATCTGTTTCTGTTGGTGTTGTGGGGACCCAAAGCTACATCGTGTCAGACTGTGATTCCGTTGGAGTTTTCTACAACAATCAACACTACACATCAACCCCGGAAGAAGCAGCCGCAGATGCAATAAAAGCAGGCTTGGATTTGGATTGTGGTCCATTCCTGGGGACACACACAGAGGATGCCATTAAGAGAGGGATTTTGAGTGAGTCTGATGTTAATGGTGCATTGGTTAATACGATTAGCATCCAAATGAGACTGGGTATGTTTGATGGAGAGCCATCAGGTCACCGGTATGGGAAATTAGGTCCCAAGGATGTGTGCACCCCTGCTCACCAAGAGCTCGCACTTGAGGCAGCTAGGCAAGCTATTGTTCTTCTTAAAAATCGGGGTGGTCTTTCTGCTTTGCCTCTGTCTCCTCGTCGCCACCGCAATGTTGCTGTTATCGGCCCTAATTCGGATGTTACTGTTACAATGGTTGGCAACTACGCTGGTAAACCTTGCATTTCTTTTGTCTTTCGATGGAGTATTGAATTTTTAAGATTATGATATTCATACTAGTCAGGAATAAGGAGTGGACTGATGGGCATTATGGGCTTCAAACCACAGGCCCAACCCAAATATTATTTGGGTCCGGTCATGTCAGGATACAAACTTGGTCTGATGGGCATAGGCCTTGGGACCAAATCATCACCCGGATCTATCAACACCGAAAAGAGTTATATATATACGTACCATTTGTTATGTGGATTCATGTACGACGCAACAAATAACAATGAAATTCATCCCATGATATGTAGTGGTAGTCCTCAAATTTTTATATATAAAATGAACTGGAAGGTCACATTTTTTAAATTAAAAGTCATAACTGTGGTATTCTAGTTTGAAATGAAAAAAAAAAAAAAAAAAAAAATTCTCAATTTTTGGGTGGATCAACCAGGTGTTGCATGTGGATACACAACTCCTCTACAGGGAATAAGGAAATACGCAAATGCCATTCACCACCTAGGGTGCAAGGACGTGGCCTGTACTACTGACCACCTATTTGGTGCAGCCATTGATGCTGCTCGTGAAGCCGATGCCACCGTTCTAGTGATGGGCCTGGACCAGTCTATTGAGGCTGAGTTCAGAGACAGAGCTGGGCTTCTACTCCCCGGACATCAACAGGAGCTTGTCTCCAAGGTTGCATTGGCCTCCAAGGGCCCAACCATATTGATCTTGATGAGTGGGGGCCCAATTGACGTGTCATTCGCCAAGAATGACCCACGCATTGCGGGCATCATTTGGGCTGGTTACCCGGGGCAAGCTGGTGGAGCCGCCATTGCTGATGTTCTGTTCGGAACCCATAACCCAGGTAATGTCTTACTTTATTATTTCGTAAATGCACTCTGAGAGTGTTAACAACAAGAGACAATATGGAGGGGAGCGTTGAGATTCAACAGAGACTAGAGTTTTTCGCATGAATCCATAAAATTTGGAAAAGTTCTAGAGAAAATTAAAAAATTCTAAAACATCCTAGAAGAATCCGAAACATTGGAAAAGCTTGAAGAAATATAGGAAAATATAAAATGTTCCAGAAAATTTTAGAATATTCTAGAGAAAGTATATAAAACTCCATTATGTACTAGAAAGAATATTTTAGAGAATTCTAAAATATAGGGATCAAATGAGAGCATCATAAAATATTTGATAAGCTTAATAATGGCCATTGGGTCAAATTGATCCTAGCAGTCCATTAAGGATTCATATGGCTATATATAGGGAAGGAGCCTCATTTAAAAGCATAACAAGTGGAGGCAAAAACTAAGTGTGAGTAATTCTAAGTGTCGTTTGGCAATAGATTTTTTTTAATTGACTTTTTGACTTTTTTTTAGCCTGGGACTAAAGTTTGTTTGGTTTGACTTTTTTGATTTTTTTAACTTTTGTGAGAAAAAAAGTGAAATAATTATAGTTTAAATGTGATATTTTGTCTTATTAATTAATTTAGTTTATTTTTATTTTATGCTTTTTTGAAGCCAAACAAACCCAAGTCAGGTGTTCTAGAGTCCTATTGGGCCGGCGAACATTGAGTCCATTTCTGAGATTCATTGAAGTTGCTTGGTTGTTTGAAAGCCCATGACTGTGCATCCCATAATTCTTAAGAAAATCAAAGTTATTTTTTAAAAAATCATAATTTCTTATGCAAGTAAATTTTAAAATACTAATATGAAATATCATTAAATCTATATATGTCATTTCTTAAGAATTATTTTAATTATTTCATAAAATTTTTGAACTAGATAATTAGTATAGAATTTATTATATTGTCATTTTAAGTTAGTTTTATTCGTAAATATAATTTATATAAAAAAATATTTTTACCTCTATGATCTTTAAAATAGAATTGGTGCTAATATGTAAAATAATTTGCTATCATACCATATACATTGTAGAAATTTTTACAGTCAACAAAACAATTTTGAAAAACCTAAGCAGCATCAGCATGGCCCCCTTGGTCCCTCACCAAGTTCATCACTTTACATGGTTGCATTCTGTGTACCTATTTTGTATTTTTCAGTACCTGAATTTTGTGTATTTAATTTTTTCAATAATGACAACCAACATGTGTGGTAATTTCAGGAGGGAGGCTGCCTATGACATGGTACCCACAAGACTACCTTTCCAAGCTGCCAATGACAACAATGGACATGCGATCAATCCCATCAAAATCCTATCCAGGCAGGACTTACCGCTTCTACAATGGTCCTGTAGTTTACCCATTTGGGTATGGACTAAGCTACTCAAACTTCATCCACACCATCGCCAACGCTCCGACTGTTATCTCAATCCCCCTAGATGGCCGCCACAGATCCCAAAACACAACAACCATGTCAGAGGGCAAGGGAATTAGAGTAACACATGCCAAATGTAACAGGCTCTCAATCGGCGTACATGTCGATGTGAGGAATGCAGGATCGAAGGACGGTTCTCACACGCTGCTCGTCTTTTCCACACCACCGGGAGGTGGGCATTGGGCACCACACAAGCAATTGGTTGCATTTGAGAAGGTGAATGTGGCTGCTAGGACACAACAGAGAGTTCATATCAACATTCATGTGTGCAAGTGTTTGAGTGTTGTGGATAGGTCTGGAATTCGAAGAATTCCAATGGGACAACATAGTCTTCATATTGGTGATGTCAAACATTCTATCTCCCTTCAAGCAGCCACTCTAGGGGTCATCAAATCATAATTTAATTTAAGAACACTGTAAGTAGAAAACAGGACACAAAAAATATATCAATGGACAATTTTTTAGAAAGGGACTTCTATCAACAAATTTTGTAGAATCCTTTCACTCGCGTATTTTATGTGTATTGATTTTTATGTTCTTAGAGTGATTGCTCAAGTAATGGCACCTATGTATCGGTCTTATTCTCAATATTATTTGTATTATTCAATTGATAGCTTTGTTGAAAAACATAAAAAGATAGAGAATTTTTTTAAAAATACATATTTAACTTTCTCGGGGAAAATTGTTTACTTCCATTCTTATTATTTTTGGTTTATATTTAGGTATGCTGCTTATAAATTGCATATATTGAAATAAGGAAGAAAGAGTTGAAGAGTGATGCCAAGAATGGATCTCGTGTTGTGACAAATTATAAATTGGGACTCTCTCTCTAGCAAATATAATGATATACTCCAGTTTAGTTTTCATGAAATGAATCTACTTACATTTTAGAAAAAAAAATTGAAATACACCAAATTCAATCATATAACCAGATACAACTCGTTCACATACAGATTATGTGCTTGTAAGACTACAAGATTTGGCACATCATGAGAAGCTTGAATTTTTTTTGGCGAAGAAGATGAGATGCTTGAATTTCATCACAAACTGGGGAATTAATTAGAACACAATAAATAGTTTTGTTTTTTACCACTGACCCCGTGATAATAAGTGTTTTAGATAGGATTTCTTTTTTTAAAAAAAAAAAAATTGATTAAAAAGAAAATATTAAACCCATACCCCTAAACAAACAGGAGCATGGTGCAGAGAGTAGTTGTTAATGAATAATGAACCAACTTTAATGCAAAGGCTGCCTTCGCTGGGATGGGCTCGAGAAACGAAAATGTTATATCTCTAAATTTTTTATTAAATAAATGATCAAATGTCTTATATAGATATGAATCTCACATTTATATGAGATATTTAATTATTTATTTAATAAAAAATTTTGTATTCCTAACATCTCGAAAAATACTCCAAAACACTCTCTCTTATCTCTGAACCACCCACCAACTCTGACCCTTCTGAAGAGCCCTTTAATTTACATTTTCTATGAACCACCCACCAACTCTGACCCTTCTGAAGAGCCCTTTAATTTACATTTTCTAGTTAACCTTTTTCATGATTAGTTAAAGCTTTACTAGAGGAAATACTTTTTAACGTGGTTGATAAACTGGATTAATTAGTAATAATAATAAATAAATAAATCTGATGTATGTTCAAATGCAGTGAACCCCAATTGTCAACCAAACGTTTGTTTAATTATTCAACAACTCTTTGTTATCGTCCAGTACACATAAGTGATGTTCTTCCTATGGGTTGATAAATGGAGATGTTATTTAAATGGAGAAGTAATTTGGCATGATCCGGTTGTGTTTCATAGTATTGTGATTGGTAGAAGAAAAGATTTTATGTTTTTGTGTTGAGGCATTGGAGAACAGTAAGAGGCACGATATTTGTGATTGGTGGGGGTATGAACATGTGGTGCCTTCAGACCGTCTAATAATTTTTTTGATAAATAGGCGGACTCTAATCATTTGCAAAAAATAAATAAATAAATAAATAATCTAATTGGACAAATAGAAGAAAGAATGAGATCCACAATTTAAATCTTACAATTTTATTCACAATGACATAATAAATTATTTGTTAACTTTTGATTTATCACTACTCAATCAGGTAATACCCAAATTAATTATCATATTACTGTGACTGAATTATGAAACTTTAATTATTTGTATCTAGGAGTAACACTTTTCATTAATTAATTTGTTAGTTCTTTCTAACAGGGTGGACTAACAACACTTTACACAAATTTGGCAACACTTCGGATGTTTTGGAATCCATATCAAAAGCATCCTTGCCAAAAATTCCCTTCATTGTTTTTTTTGATAAAGAAATACAACTTGTATAGTGAAGAAATGGGAAACAGCTTTGATAGCAGATGGCGTAGATCTATCTGCTCTCTTATTGGACTGACTGGTCTGATGGTCCTAAAGCTGATAACGGTATGAAGGTCCTAAACCTTTTGCAATGTTTTCATTTTATTTGCATAGAAAAAGCTATTTTATGGCACCCAATATTGATTTTTTCAGGATGGTTGAACCATTTGATTTATGAGTGTAGGAAATTTGATGAATTTTCATATTTTAAGCTGTGTTCTGATTCAGTGACAATTTTTTAAATAGAAGAGAAAATTGTATAAGAAAGAAGCTAATTTTTTAATTCTATTTTTGTTTTTTGTTTTTTTCACAAATCTCCCTACTCAAATCTGTGATTTACACTTAAGATGCAAATTAATTTTTAATTTTTAATTTTTATAAATAAATAAAAAAGATTTAAAACCAAACAATCTGATTAGTTAGTTGTGTTTTTTTTGTAAGACCACCAACATTAAGCTGGCTGGAGTAGGACATTTTAGCCTCCGTTTGCGAAGAGGGTTGGCTTTTGACTTTTTTGATTATTTTAGTCTGGACTAAAAAGTTTAATTTGAAAAGAATTTTTTGACTTTTTAACTTTTTTTGTGAGAGAATAGTGTAATGATTATAGATTAAAAGTAATATTTTATTTATTGTGATTAAAATAACTTATTTTATCTTTTATGACTAAAATAATTCCAAACTTCCTTGCCAAAGGGAGAGCATCGTCCAGCTAAGCAAGCAGTTTAGTGATGAGCACGTCGCTCAGCTCCACTGTCCCACGTGAAATCTCATCCACTAGGCACGTGCCCTGCTCTATTGCTTCAAATTTCTAGAGATGGTTTAAAATTAAAAATCACAGTCCCACTGCAACAACAACATTACAGCACCACTACCACATTCAAACCTAAATGATAATTTAAAAAAAAAACACACACACACCACTACCACATTAGATGAATTGAACGCAAATGATTCGTTAAAACTACATTACAATAATAATCATGTGTATCGCTGTGCCGTCAAAATAAAGCTATATATAAAATGTATGGCATAAGTATATACAATCTTTTAATTTTAATAATAAAGCTTATAAGAGTATTGTTAAAGATCACACACATTCATTTTTATAAAAAAAAAATTTACAACATTTTATAAAAATTATATTATATATGTAGCTATGAAAAATAATATGCATATAGGATTTAAAATAAAAAATGGTGTGATTATTACATTTTTACGACAGCAATGCTATGAATACATGGTCTCTATTTACTTTGACTTATTATTTTTATAATCATGATGATGGATATTTTAACTTTCTAAATAACAGATATAAATAAGATATGATTTTATATATAGTATTCTAACAACGTTACATTTACCGAATTTATTTAATTCGAATGAGTCTTTTTCCGAGAAGGGTTTTCCATGCGCGAGTCTCTTCTTAAAAAGAGATTCATTCAAATAAATTCGAACTAAACAAATTTAGTAAATAAATTATTAATCTATAGTGCCCATATACTGATAAGATCCTTTATCTTTTAGTTTATGTTTGATAAGAGAATCTTTTGAAGTTCACGTTATACTTATGCCTCCTTGGATGCCAACATGTTCAGAGATTGGGAGCGTCAAATGTTTAATCCCCCATTACCATTAGTTAAACATTACTTACTGTCCATGCACTATGCATGTATCTTTCTTTTATATAATATAGGTATATTTTACATATACATTAAGATTGTCACAAGATATCTCATGATCCTGATTCCCTTTAAATAAGGATCTTGTTGTAGTTTCAAAATTGATGGACTGGACCTTCCAAGCCTGCCCGTAAAACTGCGAAGACACTCTTATATGATGCATTTGTCCTTTTTTTTCTTCTTTCTTTTTCTAAGGTTCTTGGCATAAGGCAAGTAAATATTAGGTATAACAATAGGATTGGGCTTCCCACCAATACTTTTATGTGAATTGGAGGGGATTGTTCAGGTTTGTGAACTTATTATATGTCTCGTTAAAATAATTTGAACAGTTCATTTTATAAAGTCATATATTGTCTATGAAAAATTTTAGTCAATTCGATAATTATAATTTTTCATTTTATCAGTTTGACTTCAAAAAAATATTTATTAAATAATATATCAATTATATTTCATTCACTACAAGAATTTACACAATTGCCGACCACTTTTGCTGACCAAAAAAATTTTGATCGCAAAAAAATGACATTTGGCGATCAAATATTAATTAGTCGCGAATAATCATTATTTTTGGTGACCAAATATTATTAGTCGCAGAAAGTGATATGCTTTTGCTGACCAACTACAAATTTGGTCGCGGAAGGTCACATTTTGACAACCAAAAAATAAGTTGGTCGTGAAAGATTAAAAATAAGTGGGTTGTGGAATTGGCGACCAAAAGTTTGGTTGCCAAAAACTTATTTTTAGCGACAACAAATATTTTAGTCGCCGTATATTGAGTTTTGGCTACTAAAACAATGTAGTCGCCGAATGGAAAATAAAAAACTATTTTTTATCTTTAAAAACTTATTTTTAGCGACTAAAAATATTTTAGTCGCCGTCTATTAAGTTTTGGCTACTAAAACTATTTAGTCGCTAAATGAAAAATAAAAAATTATTTTTTATCTTTGACGACCAAAATTTTGGTCGCCAAAAACTTATTTTTAGCGACTAAACTATTTTAGTCGCCATATATTGAGTTTGCCGACTAAAATATTTTGGTCGCAAATAATTACATTTGTCGACCAAAAACTAATTTTGTCACCAAAGGTGCAGATTCCCCCGCCTGTTCTCTGTTTAAACCAATCAAATTATTCTCTCTCATAAAAATTTGGGGCAAAATGAAATGCTGAGGCGCCAAAATGAAATACTCTTGCGCCCAATGATAAAATGAAATACTCTTTGCAGAAGTCACTCTTTACTCCACCACACTCATCCATTTCAAACCCTAAATCAAACCATTTCAAACCCTAAATCATATGTCACCAATTTCACTCTCTTTTCTTCTTCTCTTCTTTTTCTTGGTTGAGTTCTTTAATCGGATCGGAGTATCTGAATACAAGTAATAGTAAACATGGTTTCGGATTCAAAGCTGGTGAATCGGCTCTGGGATGTGCTCCAAACCTCCGACCTCAACACCACCACCGCCCGATCTGTCCGGCGCACCCTGGAGTCAGAGTTCGGCGTCGACTTGTCTTGACCGCAAAGCCTTCATCTGAGACCAAGTCGATTCTTTCCTCGAGACCCGTGTTTAGAGAACCCACAACAACGCTGTCACTGTCGAAGAAAAAGAAGATGAAAAAGCGATTCACGACGAAGGTTCTGAGACTCTGAAACTTGAAGGCAACAAGTCTGAGTCTGAAGAAAAAGAAGAAAGTGATGGACATAGAAGCAAGAAACGAAGGTTAGGTTTTCCGTTTTTCGAAGCATTTCCATTTCCCCCTGTTTGGTTGCAGAGAAAAGAAATCAAAATATTTACTAATTGAATTTTTCACAGTTTTTGTTGTCATGTTAATATAATATGGGTTTGACAAAATATAGAAACACGAACCTTCAGGCTTTACCTGACAGGCCTCTCTTATTCTCTAGAGGACAGACAGGTGGGCTAAGAGCGCAAATGAGGTTGACTGAATAAACCTCTATATTCTCTGTAACAAGGCTCCTTGGGATGTTGCCTACCCTTCTACTTCATATGTCCCATGCACTAACATTTTTGTTTTAGGTCATACCGTTACTCCCAACCATCCTGTTTTGTGTAAATTAGTGTCCATTTTGTAATGTAATTCATTTCATTTTTTTTTCTTTACCTTTAATTTTTTCTTTCCTTCCCCTTTTTGAGAAATGGAAATGTGGTGCTGTAATCAAAGGGCTGGTCATGATTCTGGATTATTTCTGTGGTTGTGGATAAGAGGGAAAGAGGCAATGGATCTATGGTAGTAGAGGGTTGGAGGGGCTGTGGCAAGGGGCGGAAGGGGAAGTGTAACCAGATGGGATAGGGGTTCCTAAAGGGAATGAAGAGGTTGGGGAGCTATAAGAGGGTTGGGCGAGGGAGACGGTGTAAAAGCCCTTCTTGTGTTTGATAAAATACCTGTGTGAAACATTGCCATATTGTTGGGTAATATTTTTCTCTTCTCTTCTCTTCTTCTCATCTCTTCTTATTCTTCATAGAAACACTGTTGTGCTTTTGATTATTGGACTGAGTTGCTTAAGGTCATTGAGATTTTCCGAGTCAAAGTTGCCACAAGATGAAGGTAAGAAGATTTCCTCATTTTATATTGGTAGTTATTTCTATTTGGGTGCCAAGAAAATGCAGGAATAATCAATCAAACTATAGAAATTTTGAATATTGGTGTTTCATTATATGGGTTCAGCTAAACTGAGCCTGTCTTTGGTATTTTGGGTTAGTTTAGTTTGATTTTGGGGGAAAATCAAATAAATAGCAAACAAAAGATTTAGAAAATTTATATCTTTGTGTTTGATTTTCTTGAATCAAATAGAGGACTTCCAGGTTGAGTTAATTTGGTTTTGGTGATTCCGTTGTTTTCCTTATTAGAAACAATAAATGGCTGACATCATAGCCGCTGCAACAACTCAAACATTACTTCAGATTTCATTTTTTTTCGTTGAGAAAACTCAAGAAAAACAGGGATGGGAAGAATAATATTTCTAAAAGATAGATGTTAAATCTCACCAGTGGGAAGCAAAATATTCTTCAACAAAATGAAGATAGCCTCTTCAGGACTGAGCTTAATCCTCTTTCGCACCACATACACAAACTGACCGACAGTCAGATCAACAGGAACCAAGTATCTACTAATTATTTTATGGTTTCTTCTATAATGAATTGTTTTATGAGGGTGGGATTTCATGTTTTATGCAATATGTTTTGTTTTTCTTTTCAGTAGGGTATTTTGTAAATTTGAACATGGGTGGCGCAATTGTCTAGATTCTTCATTCATATGGTTAGAGCGACAGGTGTGCATAAAGATGCATATAGAATGCCCATTTTGGTTATTTCTGTTGGTTTTAGATGAAAATTTATCATTCTATATGTCCTTTTGGCTTGTGATCTTCAATATGTTTCCAGTCTAACAATGAGCTGGCTGTTATTTTTTTAGGTGTACTCGTGTAGTTTTAACTCTCAGAGTTGAGTGATAGAGTATTTGTGCCTAGTCAACAAGTTTAAGCTTAAAGTAGTAATGTTTCTTCGTCTTTCTCTTTGATCTTTATTATTCCATTGGAGGTTGGATAGCTTGTTTTGATTTTTCAAATTTTAGAGCATTTTTTAATATCATTTAAAGGTGATCCCATTCTTTAGAAATTCCAAATTGAGTTGAAAAGAAAAGAATATACACTCTTTTCTTAGTTAAGATCTTGAAAACAAATTTAAAAAAAAAATGATTTCATCACATTGATATGTGGAGCCCATGGTGAGGGTATGGAATAATCAGAATGCAAGTGGTCTATTAGTTACTTTGAGAATAATATTAAGCTAACAATCTTTCTTTCTCAGTTTAGGTAATATAATATCACTACGCCAAAATTGGGCTTTAGCGGCGGTTTTTTACCGCCGTTAAAGGCTGTAAAACCGCCGTTAAAGCCTTTAACGGCGGGTTTGTTACCGCCGTTTATGCGCGTGTCGGAAAAAGTACAACCGTCGTAAAAAGGTAAATTACCGTCGTTAAAAGTCGACCAAAAACGGCGGTAACATATGACCAAAAACGGCGATTTTTTACCGCCGTAAATAGGTTCAAATTTTTCAAAAAATAATTCTTTCTTCTTGCACTCCCCAAGTCTTGAACCCTCAACCTCTCATCCACCCACACTAACCACTCTGCCATAGCCACTCTTCATGAAATATATTCCCTAAATAAATATTTAAACATTACTTTTACTTTATTGTAGATGGTTTCGCCGGAGCTCACCGGAGTTTCGTCGGAGCACACCAGAGTTTCGCCGGCAAAGACCGCCGTCATTAACGTCGGTAATGATTGGGCATTAGCGGCGGTTTTGTTACCGCCGTTAAAAGTGGGCATTAACGGCGGTTTTTTTAACGGCAGTAACAAAACCGCCGTTAATGATACCTTTAACGACGGTTTTCGTTACCGCCATTAAAAAAATCGCTGTTAATGCCCTGTTTTGGCGTAGTGTATCATCTAGGATAGAATTTATTATTTTGGTTGTTGCAGGTATGTTTTAAACTCTCACAGTGAAAGCTATTGAATAACTTTGTATATCGGTGGTCCAATTGGTAAATATTGTCAACTATACATGGGCATTTCACGATGAGGATCAGTTGAGCATTTGAAAACTGAATGATGTTAATAGATTGATTAAATTAAGAGCTTTTGTTAAGCTCAGGAACCTTGGAGAATCATGCATTATGTTATAACTCAACATAACAAAACAGGTCTTTTGGATCATTGTCATTGGTTGCCAATTGTCTTCTGTCAGTGATATCAATCACATGAATGAGGTTCAGTGGCTAGTGTGCGAAACAATTTAATTTCTTCCGTTTTTATTATCTTTAAAATTGAAAGGTAAACTGGATATGGTTCTAGTTAAGTAGAAAGAATGAATAAATAATTGGTTTCACTCATTTTAGGTATTTGTAAACTAGTAAAGAATAGGACAATCTCCTTTGTCTCTATATATGGTATTTGTAACACATAAATATATTTATTGTTTTTGTCTCAGAAATATATAACTAGTAAAAAAAAAAAGCAGATACATAAATAGAGCAAAATGTAGTTGATGTTGATGATAATGAACAAGAAGGGGAACACAAATAAAGCGGGAATAAGTTTATACAATTATCTTCTCTTTGAATAGAAAAAGCTGTTCCATGCTCTTTGAAATACAACTTAGAGCATTGTTTTTACACAGTTTAAGCTGTTTTTGTGTTTCTTTTGATTTTTCTTAATGTGTTTTGCAAGCATGTTTCAATAGCAAGTCTATACAATTGTATTTGATTTTTGCAGGCTGAGAAGGCAGCATTTGATGAGGCAGAGAAAAAGAGAGAGAAGGTATTATTTTTTGTTCATAATTGTTGTTATTTAATATCTCATTTGATAAATCTTTTACATTTTTTCTACTATTAATATCTCCGCTGTGAAATCTAGATTGGCAACTATAAATAATAGAGAAATAGTATCCTCTTAGGATGTGTTTGGATCATGGATTTAGGTAAGGATTTAAAAAGGGCAACAAAAAAGGGAAAGATGAGGCAAATGAGAATGAAATATAAGCTAAATTTTTTTCTCTATTTTCATTTTCTTTTTCAAATTGCTGTACCCTAATCCATGAACCAAGCAATACATTAGTATTTATTTTGCCAGAAATGCATCAATGCAGACAGAATGGATATCAGAACATGTATTAACATTTGTCAAATTTGAACATGTTTAACTAGCTTCTCTGAGTCATCAGTGCATTTATTTGGTTGAATACAATATCGATTGTGCTATTCCATGTCTTGTTGCCAACTTCTCAATTTGATTTTCTGCCAGGAATCAAAGGATGATCCTGTAGATTCTGATGTAAGTGCCACGAATTCATCTAAACAATATAATTTGTTTATTTTAACCGTGTCATAATCTTGATAAACTGGTTTTTACAGGCTGAAGGTGATGATGATGAAATTGACAAAGATGCTGATATTACAGAAGAGAGTGCACATGTAGGATTTCTTTCTACTTTTAATTGTTTAAAAATATCAATTCCACAAAGGATCCACTTTGATATATCTTGTTTGTTGCTTTGTATTTGCAGGATGAGTTGTAGGGAGGGAGAGCACCGTTGTGGTTTTCTGCTGACAATTCACTCTCTCGAGATCTCTGAATTTTTTTCTTGCTTAGTTTATTTGTAGCTTTTAGTTTTGTTTGTGTGGAACTAATATAGCGCTATGTTTATATTTTTATGAAATTAAAGTGTTATATATATTTTTTTGTTATTTAATTATGTGAATCCGTGGTCCTAAACCGATCCAATCCGTATTTAAATGGATTGGTTCGGATTGGTTCCATGATTTAAACGGATTGGATTGGTTCCAATTTTTTAGGAACCGTAAATAACGGATTGGTCCTGGTTTTATCCCAATCCGGTCCAATCCGGACCATGCTCACCCCTAGAGAGCACCGTTGTGGTTTTCTGCTGACAATTCACTCTCTCGAGATCTCTTAATTTTTTTCTTGCTTAGTTTATTTTTAGCTTTTAGTTTTGTTTGTGTTTTAGGAAAAGAAACATTGGTGGTTGCATAGCAAGCAAGAACTGTGGCTAATTATTTTAATCTCATTTGACTCTCCTGAAGAATTGAATCAGTAGTTGTTAGGTTTACCATTGTATTGAATCAGTAATTTTTTTTCGCAAAAAATGACAATTGCCGACCAAGAGGTTTGGTCGCAAAAAATACATGTATTGCCGACCAAAACAGCTCTTGGTCGTGGAATCTCACTTTTGCCGACCAAAAGTTTTGGTCGCGAAAAGTAACAAATGGCAACCAAAATTTTTGGTCGCGAAAAGTAACAAATGGCAACCAATATTTTTAGTCGCGGAATGTCACGATTGGCGACCAAAATTTTTTGGTCGCGGAATGTCACGATTTGCGACCAAATTTTTTGGTCGTTGAATGTGAAAATTGACGACCAAACGTTTTGGTCGCGAAATGTGTCAATTGGCGACTAAGATATTTGGTCGGGAAAATATCACTTTTCGCGACCAAAGTGTTTTAACGACTAAATGAATTAGTCGCGGTAATGATATATTTCGCGACCAAAAATTTAGTCGGCAAATCCCACTTTTCCCGACCAACTAAAATTTTGGTCGCGAATTACTTTTGCCGACCCTCAATTGGCGACCAAAGTAGCGACCAAAAAAATTGGTCGCGGATAACTTTTACCGACCAAAAATGAGTTTTTAGCGGCCAATTTTTTGGTCGGCAAAAGTGTTAATTCTTGTAGTGATTACTTATTTTGTTTCTTTGTTTATGTTTGATTGATAAAATTCATAAATAAATATTTTTTATATATTTTTTTCTTAATATGCATGTTAATTATTTGGATTTTTATAATATTTTTTTGTCGGCTTGAATTCGAACTTAGTCGATTTATGCAATCAAATTGATTCAAGCTGAATCAAATTTCTCAAATAAGGAATGAACGGAGCAAGAGCTCAATTATTCAAGTTCATGAGCTTAGTTCAAGTTAGACTAATTTTTAAGTAAACTAAACTCAAATACTCTAAAACTCGACCCAATTCAGCTTGCCTTTCTTATCAACACTTGTGCTACAATTTTCTATGTAGTTTGTTAAGAGACCTAAATTGAATAGGCAATGCGGTCCATTATCAAATTTAGCCTTTAGGTTCACTGTATTGAAAGTCAACCTTATCACAAGTATTAGCTCCGTAATTGTTTAATGCAAAAATATATATATATATATATTTTATAAACTGGTTGTTACGACTGTTTCATGAATGTGTATCTATCAACCTTAAATATATGAATACTTAATTGTCAATAATAAGATAGAATGATAACAAATGTTGATAGATCCAAAAGAATGTATGAGAAAACAGTACCAATTATAGATCTATCAAATATTTGCCTATAATGGCCTATGTATCATGCTTGCAGGTAAAGTACTTTGATTTTCAAAACTTCTGATGCCTAATGAAAAATTGGTCAAATCAGTTTATAAATGCCGAGACACTGCATGCGTTCTTTATATGCATAGACAGGTTCATAAATTTTTTTTTTTTTTTCTTCCGGTTTTAAAATGTGTCTTTAACCAGTACTGTTTCTAAGTTTCATGGGACAGCAGCAACATATTGGTCCTTGGCGTATTCAGGCCACTTCAATGTGAAAATGCACTAAGTAGGAGTTGGTAGGACACCAACCCTTGAATATAGGGGTTCCACAAAAAATTTGAATCAAAACAACCCTTGGCAGACAAAAAATTATTAGGCCTGTGTTTGGCAAGTGGGTTTGCAGGCTTTTTTGGCTATTTTAGCCACAAAAAACAAAATAGGCTATTTTAGCCATAACAAACAAAACATCACATCCAACCCATAATCATTACATTCTTCTCTCACAAAAAAACTCAAAAAAGCCAAAAAGCCAAAAAGCCCTTCCCAAACCAAGCTTTTAAGCCCAGGCTAAAATAGCCAAAAAAGCCAAAAAGCCAAAAAGCCAACCCACTTCCCAAACGGAGGCTAGGTTTGTCGAGAACAGTATGATTATGTTTTGTTTAATAGCATGAAATTATGTGATTAGTTGTGTGGCACATAATCTCATATTATTTATGAAGCATTAATGTTGTTTTGAAATTGAACGAAAAAATATATTAAAAAAAAAGTGACAAAAATTGAAACTAATTTTTTTTTTTTCATTTTATAAATTTCTATTTGAATTTAAAATTCAAATACCGTCTAAATAAATTCTGGAATAATCATTCTAAATGATTGGATGGCATAGGGGGGGGTTACATGCATTTGTGTAAGAGGTTGTTCACAAGTGCTTCAATATATTGTTTGATCACAACCCTCCAAAAATAACAACCTTGATATAGGGGCCACCTTTGCATCAGATATGGACCTAATTTCTCCAACCTGGAGAGCTTAGCTGTGACTACATATGGTTGGAGCTGCAATAAGGCTGGAACAAAACCTACCTCTCAAGGAGTGTCTATTCCCTGAATTAGGAACAATGGATACTTAAACATGTCTTACCAATCTGTAGGACCCCTACAACGTTAGAACCTTCTTCAAATTTTTTTTTTTTAATTTTTTGAAAAAACAAAGGAAAAAGAAATTGTAAAAAGTAAACTTTTAATTGGATTACTCGCTCTTACTTTTTTTCTTCAATCAATGATAAGTTAAACAAAGTCAAACTGGTGAGCGCATTCTTTGCTAACCAACTAACCTATGTATTGAAATCATTGATAAGTTTCACCTAGCTCGACGACAATCAACTATTGCCACGACATTGCTATCAGCCAAAAAAAATTTTAAAAAAATGTTTCTGTTAAATAAGTTGGTGAGTTATAAGACCAGGAATAGTCTCAGCTTTTGAAAAAAAAAAAATTATAATAATAATGTCAAGCTACCTCTTGTTGAATTGTAAGTATTGGCAACATATTGTTATGAAAGCTTTGAACTAGATGAATTTCTTCTTTCCATTGGTAAAACATTAGTCATTGAGAACATGCTTCTTTTATTTCTTGAATAAAAAAACAATAATAATTGAAAAGAGTGTCACTTTAATTGAATTAGTCGCTATTGCCTTTCTTACCTTACACTAAGGCCCCGTTTGGGAACTTACCTTTTTAGCCAAAAAATCAAAAAATTACTAAATTAGCCAAAAAGCCAACAATCCATACCAAAAAGTCAAAGATTCTCTTTTCTCTCTACTTTTTGCACATCTTTTCGTAATTAGCCAAAAAGTCATCTCAAACATATAAGTTTTTTTTAGCTACCTTTTTAGCCAAATAACCAAAAAATTACTAAATTAGCATGTTCTCAAACGAGGCCTAAAAGGAGTTGAAAACTGCGCATGGAGCTCTTAAATCACTGTATTTTTCGTAATCTTAAAATTGTAAAGATGTAATAAAAGGGTGTGAATTTAACCTTTTTTTATTTTGTTTTTTGTCAAGGTGAAATACTAAAATCCAATAATCGTGTACTGAGTTAATTGCGATCGTGATAAAAATAATTAATAATCTATCTTTTTATAGCAGATTTATTTTAAAATCTTATTAATAAGTGTTTTTAAAAATAAAACAAAATAAGAAATAAACATAAATACATATATATTGGATGTAAAATCACGCAACAATATCATCATCTAATTTCCAATCTTTTGCTTTAGAGGAGAGTCAGTTATGTTGGATTAATGGAAATTAAGATGTGTCCACTTTAATTCCATTTGTGATTTTTTATTAGTTGATAGTGTCACTGTCATACTTAATATTTTTTCAATAACCCTCTACACTTTTTACCAATTCAATATATATTTTGACCTATTTTAAAAAATAGGTTAAAAGTTATTTTTTTGATTTTTTTAGCATTTTTTTAAAAAAATATATACACAAAAAATAGGAGATGATACAATCTAAAAAAGTCAAAAAAAAAAAAAACTTTTAACCCAATTAACAAAATAGGCCTTTATTGAAATTAATAAACTTTAAAACTTTTTTTGCTTATTTTCAACATATTTTCACCTTAATTCTAATATTAAACAATATCCTACAACACATTCGTTAGTATTTGTCTTTATTTTGGCATCTTATATGTTACTGCTACAATTATACAAAACATTATAAAATAAATATGATATAAAAAAAAATGATAATTGTAGTAGTATTATGAAGAAAAAAAAATTGGCTGACGTGGACGCTTGAAGGAGTCCTAGTAATGTGGAATAGAAAAATGACACGTGGAGGGCAGGCTAGGCGCATTTAGTGATGTGGCACGAGATGTGAAGCCAAGCACGAGATTGTAGGAACTGCCAATCTCCAAACAGAAAGGGTGGGTGGGGACGGGAAAGGGAGGTTGGCAGGAAAATTAATTTGGTGCACTTGAGGCAAATAAACGTATTGTTTGAATTTGACATTCATTGGTTAAAATATTTCATTTTAATATTTTTTACTATTTTTTAAGAGATAATTTGATAAATATTAAGTGATAACGATATGAAACAATGTTTCAAAATTACCGAATAATAACTCGGTTGGCAGTTCCTTTAAGAGAAACCCAACTGGCGATCTATCCGTATTCATGTGCCATTAATCAATGCATTGTTTGGGTGAAATCAAAAGCAAAGCGAACCCCGCAGAAAAGAAAAGAAAAGAAAAAAAGCATGATTCTTGTGGCTTACGAGAGAGAGAAAAAAAAAAACTGAGTCACTTTCTCACCCCCAATAAATGCGCTTGCACAACACATTACCTCATCCTCCTTTTTCTTTTCACTTTTAATTTACCATTTTCTCCTCCATATTCTTCTCCTTCCACACCCAACATTATTATATGACTTGGATTTTATTCTCTTTCTCATTTTCACTTTTGTTAGCCAAGTCATTAGTCCTTCTGTGTAGTTGACTTAATAATGAGAAGCACCTTTATTCACTCTGGTTAGTTTTCATTCAAAGAAAATAAACAGCACACAATCACTATTATACTTGAACCAACAAATGTTTAAAGAAAAGGTAGGACAACACTAATCTATACAAATTGGTAGTGAACATTAATAACGCATGTCAGCCATTCAATTCAAAGAATTGCTTGTAGGCCTATATATTCTGATTTTGCATTAGTGATAATCTGTTTAATTCTTGTCCAAAATCTATCAAAATAATAATGGAATTATCAATACACATGAGTTCATAAGTTTGTAAGTTTGGCAAGGCGGGATAACTTCACACCGAGATACCATGTGAAAGGTCAGTAGTAGCCAAGATTGTGACATCGGTCAATTCTCTATCAAAGTATAACTTGTAGGTTAATAAGATCAATCCTTACTAATTGAAGAGGAATCCTAAATAAGGAATAATTGTTAGGCAAATGTATTCTTGATTTGAAAAAGAAAACTAAAGGTGACATGATACTCTTTATAAAATGTCAAACTCTCATTAATTGAGATACATACATTCTAACATTTGTGCTATTGAGTTTTTTTTTTTTTTATAAATTGTTAAAAAGGCAAAGAGGAACTAATTTTGTTTTTTCAAGCAAAGGTGTCATTTGGAAAGTGGGTTGGTTTTTTGACTTTTTAATTTTTTTGACAATTTTAGCCTAGACTAAAAAGTTTTGGGAAGGGTTTTTTTGGCTTTTTAAACTTTTTTGATATTTTTTATGAGAAAAGAGTGTAATAATTATGGATTGGATGTGATGTTTTATTTTTTATGATTACAATAACTTATTTTATTTTTTGTGATTAAAAAAATCAAAAAAATCTCAAATAACTCTTCCCAAACGGAGCCATAGACCTCAGCCTTTTGGCATGGTTTTCCAAAACTTCCAAAGAAAAGTATTTCAGTCTGCACAATCGTGTACTTCAGATTTTTGCCCACACATATGGTTATGGCATAGATTACTATAATTTGAAAAAGTCCAACTGTAAGATTATTTTTATTGTGCATAGGATGCCATTTAACCTTCTTTTTATATTGCTTGGTAGCGTACATCACAAGCTATCCACCAGATTTTTAAAATCTTAAAATAAAACACTGTTAGGATACAGGCTTTCAACCGTTTTTTTTTTTTTTTTTTTTCAATAGACAATTCCAATTAATGCTCTTCTTCTTCTTTTTTCAATGGGCTTTAAAGCATGGATTTTTAATTTTTAATTTTTTTAAAACTTTTTACATAAAGCTTAAACTAATAAAAAGAAAAGTTTATCTAAATAGGGATAAACAATGAATACAAATTTTACATATTATTCAAAATTACACGAGCATAAATTGTTGAATAAAGGCTTATTTTGGAAAATAAGTAAAAAATTAATTTTTTGATTTTTAATTTTTTTAAAAAAATATATATAACTTAAAAAAATTAAAAAATCAATAAATTAATTTAATTATCAAAAGAAACCACAATAGTGATGGTGTGGTGTGTTTATTGTAGTTGACCTCTTCGTTCTAGTCGGTAGAGAATAATGATGGCAAGACATAAGGGTGTATCAGTAAAATCATAGAGCGGAAATAAATAAGTGGGAAGGATTATATTTCTCACACAACACCTCACTTTCTTTTGAGGCAATTTGTCGGTGTCTGCTCTTTTCTCCGGTGGTCACATTCTAAATTGACAATTTTGTCGCGTAATTTAGGAATATAGTTAAAAATTAAATTTTGATGTGTAATTTATTTTGAATCATATTATTTTTTTTATTTTTTTATATATATTTTTAAAAAAAATTTGAAAATTAAAATTTTAACTAGCTTCTCAAAATAATCATGTGTGATAAATAGCAATCAAATTATAAGGGTGTCTTGTTAATAATAAGGAAAATATTATAGGGGCACACCCTACGCACTTTATAATTAAAAAAATAACATAATTTTAATTTTTTGAGTCATAAATAAAAAAATATTATAATTAAACACAATATAAGGTATAATCAAAAAATTTATGAGTTATAATTAAAATAATGTCATAACTAAAGAAGAAAATTAATTATAACTATAAAAAAATGACATAATTAAAGGTGTCTATAATATACTATTTTTAAAGAGGTATATATTAGAATTTTCCTAATAATAGCTATAAAAAAAAGTCAATAAAAAAACATAAAATATTAAAATATATATAATCTCAATACATATTTCATATATGATAAAATACCTAAACATGTTTCAATATATTTTTCAACACTAACAATGACACTCATGGTTGTTCTTAAAATTTTATAATTATAAAAAGGTAAATTTTTTTAAAACTCGTCATGAATTTTTATTCAATTTTAATTAAAAACAAATGAACGAATAGAAATTAAGAAAAATATTTACATATCAATGAAAATCTTTGTTAAAAGCAAACTAATAATTTTTGAGAGAAATAACAAATCAGTATTAGTTCTGAAAAATAAAAATAAACTTTATAAAGCCATATAGTTTTTTTTTTATATAAATCTTTAATTATTTTAAAAAAATTGTCGCTGATTTGTAAATTTTTCTATTTTTTTCAGACAAATTATTGTTTATTTAAAAATGTATGAGTGATTTGTTATTTGGTAAATCCCTTTGAACAGATTTGAGGAGTGATTATTCAGTATTTCCGGAGTATAGATACGTGGTGCTTCATAATGTTTTGATTGGTGAAGAGACACAAAGATTCGCGATTTATGTTGGAAATGAGGGGACAATATAGGGCTAACTAATTGATGGTTGGTTTAGAGTATGAACACGTGATGTTCCGGGAGTATTGAATAATTTCACCAGATATGAGTAGTGATAGCAGATTAGTAGGGCATTGTAGGGGTGAGGTGGTCTAGAGAGAGAAAGAGAGGGAGAATCTATTGTTGTGCCAGGCTGCCAGCAATGAAATTGAAGGATCAAAGCTTTCTCTCTCTCTGAAGCTGGCATTTGCTTTGCTTTGCTTTGCTTTGTAGCAGATTGTTCTCTCCATCACCCACCCTCTCCTCCTACTTCCTTATTTATTACACCTCTCTCAATTTTATTATTCATTTAAACCCCAAAAAACTCAAAAAAAACATCCCCTTCCTCTCTTCTCTACTCTTCTCATTCCTCTCAATGGAATAGAAATGTAAAATGTGCTGATAGATATATATATATACACACACACACACACACACAAAACAAAAGGATGATGTTTGATCCTTGTTCACCAACAATGGCTTCATCTCCATCTCTGTGTGGTGCAGAGAAGAAGCACTGGTGGCTTAGCAACAGAAAGGTAAGTGAACCCCAACCATATACACCATTTGATTTTTGTTTTTATGATTTTGATTGATTTGTGTATGTCTCAGATGGTAGATAAATATGTGAAAGACGCAAGAGTACTCATTGCGAGTCAGGAACAGAGTGAGATCGCATCGGCTCTCAATCTTCTCGACGCTGCTCTCGCTCTCTCTCCTCGCTTCGAGCTTGCTTTGGAGCTTAAAGCTCGTTCGCTTCTCTATCTCCGGCGATTCAACCACGTCGCCGATATGTTTCAGGACTACATTCCCAGTCTCAAGATGGCCTCCGATGACTCGTCTTCTCTCTCATCCGATAACTCGTCCAAGGACCGAGTCAAGCTTCTGTCGTCGAATAACTCGTCCGGTGACTCAGCGGATTATCCCTCTTTCAAGTGCTTCTCTGTTTCGGATTTGAAGAAGAAGGTCATGGCTGGTCTCTGTAAAAACTGCGACAAAGAAGGGCAATGGAGGTAATTTCGAGCTTCTATTTCGTTGATTTTGGCGATTCCATTACTACTATTATTTTTTCATTTTTTGGTTCTACTTTTTCCAAATACATAGCTTGTAGATTACGCAAAATAACAGCTGCCATTAATGAATTTTAATTCTAGGGACCAAGAATGAATGAATTTTAATTTCAATAATGCACATTTTAAATAAATTTGATTCTCACAAATATTTTTTTGTTAATTTTTTTCTTGACCTTTGTCTCCACTCCACGTTATTGATTTTAATTTTAGCTTGGAAAGGTCAATTTGTAAAATGAAATAATAAATCATAAGTATAGTAAATAAAAGCAAAATTGGAAAATAGTATTTTTGCAAACTTGCGATATATGTGGGTGGGTGTTGACTTGGATTTGGATTTGGATTTGGATTTGGGTTTGGATTTTTACAGGTACTTGGTTCTGGGTGAAGCCTGTTTCCACCTGGGTCTGATGGAGGACGCAATGCTTCTCCTCCAGACCGGAAAACGCCTGGCCACCGCCGCTTTCCGCCGCGAAAGCATCTGCTGGTCCGACGACAGCTTCTCCTTCTCCAAACTCCCAATCTCCGGCGAAATCGCCACCATTTCCAACCAACCTCCGAGCCCTCCAAAGGCGGAGACGGAGAGCATAACCCAACTCCTCAGCCACATCAAACTCCTCCTCCGCCGCAAGACAGCCGCTATTGCTGCCCTCGACGCCGGACTCTATTCCGAAGCAACTCGACACTTCTCGAAGATCGTCGATGGCCGCCGCGGAGCCCCTCAGGGCTTCCTCGCCGAATGCTACATGTACAGAGCATCTGCGTATAGATCCGCGGGTCGTATCGCCGAGTCCATTGCTGATTGTAATCGGACTTTAGCTCTAGACCCGACTTCCATTGAGGCCCTGAGTAGCAGAGCATCACTCTTTGAAAGCATCCGATGTTTGCCTGACAGTCTTCACGATCTTGAACATTTGAAACTTCTATACAATTCAATTCTACGTAATCGAAAGCTACCCGGACCAGCCTGGAAGCGAAAAAACGTTCGATACAGCGAAATTCCTGGAAAGCTCTCTGCTTTAACTGCCAAGATCCAAGAACTGAAGCAGAGGGTTGCGTCAGGTGAAACTGGGAATGTAGATTACTATGCATTGATTGGGTTGAGAAGAGGATGTTCGCGATCGGAATTGGAGAGAGCTCATTTGTTGCTCACACTGCGGCACAAGCCTGATAAATCAAACAGTTTTATAGATCGCTGCGAGTTTGCAGACGAGCGTGATATTGATTCAGTAAAGGATAGAGCAAGAATGTCGGCATTGTTGCTATTTAGGTTGATTCAGAAGGGACACACTAGTGTGATGAGGATCATCATGGAGGAAGAAGCGGCGGAGGAGAGAAAGAAGGCTGCAGTTGCTTTACAAGCAGCTGCTGCGATTCATGTCCAACAAAACCACAAACAAACCAAATTTGAAGCAGAATTGAGTACACCCTCAACAGCGGAGATCTCAAACAAAACCACAACGGCGGCGGCGTCAGTGTTTCAAGGGGTGTTCTGTAGGGACCTTGCAGCAGTTGGGAATTTGCTATCTCAAGTTGGGTTTAATCGTCCGATTCCAGTCAAGTATGAAGCATTAAGCTGCTGATAATCCTGATCACGATCAGATTTCACCGGCCGGAGAATCTGATTCCCTGTTTGTACAAAAAGAAAATTTACCAATGCCAGCCGGGAAAATTTTGTCATTTCTTTTGATTTCTCTATCTTGTTCATGTACAGAGTTAAATTCAGAGTACTGCGAATTTTCTTGTTTTGGAAATTAAAATTGGGTGTCATTTTCTTTCACTGCTTCTTTCGTTATTTTCCATAGTGGGAATGCGAGGGAAGGGAGTGATTTGATTCGCTTCAAAATTGGGGGCCATATGCAGAAAACAGAGAAGCTGGCATTTTTGGATTCTTTCTCACATGTCTTAATGGCTTTGCATAGCCATTACTTTTCTCCTTTGTCAGAGGGTTATCCATGGCTCTACTTTGCCAAAGTCTGACATTCCACAAGATTTCATAATCAACCACCCTTTGCTATTCACACTACAATAATATTCATGTAATCTATTAATTTCCAACAATTAAGTCATGTTTGTTTTATTTGACTAAATTACATGAATCTATTAATTTAGAGACTAATAAATTTGAAATGACTAATATTATGAAAAATGATATGTATGCCGGTCTTTATCTTATCTTATATTTGGAATGTCCTTAAATTTAAAGAGGATATTAGTAAACTCCAATCATATGTCATTTTTGTTTGAAATCATTTGGTATACTAGTGAATAATTTTTGAGAATATTTCAATATTTTAATCACTGAAATCTTCCTTAGTTCCTTCATTTTGCATTTCTAGTAGACTCAATAATCCCCGTTTGAGGCATATTTGTTTGGTTTGTTTTTTAGAAAAAATTTTAGGAAAAATTCTCTACAAACAAATTTTTAAAAGTAATCAAACCAAATAAATTTTTTTTAAAAAAATCTTAAAATTTTGTTTGGTTACCTAGTTTCCAAAATGACTCTCTCATACACATCAAATCAATCATTTTTTTTAAAACTCTCTTCCCAAAACAATTTTTCAAAACCAATTCTGAAAAAAAAAACAAACCGAACAAGTTTTGGAACTTTTTATCTCAAAAACTATTCTACAAACACTAACCAAATACACCCATCAATCGATGTCGGGATACTCTCTAAAGATCTCTCATTTTTGTATCCAAGTATAATAATATTCAACATTGGTCAAAATACATAGTGCAATCTCAAGACTTTATCTCTAAACAAACGCAACCAATTAAAGGACAATGGTATGGATACAAAGCTAAGTAGTGTACTTTTGTATTGTTGTTCTTTTGTCCTGTTGGGAGGAAAAATTATTTATTTTTTATATATATTTTTTTATCAGAATAGTTCTTTTTTTTTTAATGTATTGCTAGACTACTAATCTTAAAATTTAAAAGAGAAAAAAAAAGAAAAAGAAAAGCGGATCACCTTTTTGAAAAAACAAATTTTTTTTTCGTATTTTCTGTGTAGTCTCGTATTTGTAAGAGATTATGATTTGATAATAAAGTTATATTTTGAGTTTGAAAATTTTGGAATTATAATTTGAAAAGAGAAAATTTATTTGGTTATGAGTTTTGAAAAAAAATTTAAATTGAGTTTTGAATTTTTGATATAACATATGAAATGAAAAAAGTTATTTGGTTATGAGTTTTAAAAAAATTTCAAAACTTATAACTTATAATCAAGCACACAATTCAAAACTCTATTGAAAATTTTATTTTAAAATTCATTTCAAAAAAATAATTTGTCATTTTGGTTTAAAAAAATAATTTCTATATTTAAAAAAATCAAATTTTTCTCTCTGTTTTTTTTTTCAAATAACAGGTAGTTATTGGCAATTGTAAAAGAAAAAAATTATACCATTCCGATCAATTGACAGGACGATCGAATAGACCAAAAATTCAAAAACGATTCCACTATATGGCTCAAAACCTTGCCTCCCCGAATGGCCCAAATGTGTTGCATCCCATTCTTTTACTTTTGACTTAGTTGCCTCAAGCATGCGTGAAACTCACACGTTTTCAAAATAAAGAAAGAGAAGAGAAAAGAGAGAGAGACAGAGAGACAAAGGGGGGACCTTTCTGAAAAAAAAAAACAAACCGAACAAGTTTTCGTACTTTTTATCTCAAAAACTATTCTACAAACACTAACCAAATACACCCATCAATCGATATCGGGATACTCTCTAAAGATCTCTCATTTTTGTATCCAAGTATAATAATATTCAACATTGATCAAAATACATAGTGCAATCTCAAGACTTTATCTCTAAACAAACGCAATCTCCAATGCACTAGGCATATAATACTTGTTAGTTAAAATGCCTAGTGTGATTCACTTTTTTCAATTCCAACGCACTAGGCATATGATTAGGCATTTTGGCTCAACTCATATTCACTAGCTACATGTAGCTAGCCTTCAACGCTAGGCAAAATGTATTCAATCATTAGGATCATTTCCCTCCATCTTTGTTGTTGACGTGGCATTCTATAAAATTAATAGTATTTGGATTAATAGCTAAAATAAAGAACATGGTTGGAGTAAAAATATAAAACAGTTGATAGGCAAAATAAAATATATACTTTATAGTAATATTTAAATAGGTAAAATGCCTACTACCATTAGAGATGCTCTAAAGGACAATGGTATGGATACAAAGCTAAGTAGTGTACTTTTGTATTGTTGTTCTTTTGTCCTGTTGGGAGGAAAAATAATTTATTTTTTATATATATTTTTTTATCAGAATAGTTCTTTTTTTTTTCTCTCCTTTTTTTTTTTTAATGTATTGCTAGACTACTAATCTTAAAATTTAAAAGAGAAAAAAAAAGAAAAAGAAAAGCGGATCACCTTTTTGAAAAAACAAATTTTTTTTTCGTATTTTCTGTGTAGTCTCGTATTTGTAAGAGATTATGATTTGATAATAAAGTTATATTTTGAGTTTGAAAATTTTGGAAGCAATCATAATTTCTGTAAGGACTGATTGATCCTTGCTGGCACGCTCACATTTACAAAAATACCCTTCGAAAAGCCAAAAAGCCAACAATATGAAATGAGAAAAGTTATTTGGTTATGAATTTTGAAAAGAGTTTTCAAAACTTAATTGAAAAATTTATAACTCATAACCAAACACACAATTCAAAACTCTATTGAAAATTCTATTCAAAACTCATAACCAAACTCCTTTTAAAATTTAATTCAAAAAATTAATTGAAAAAAATAATTTCTATATTTAAAATATATCAAAAACAAATATACTTTTTTTTCTCCAAATAACAAATGGCGATTGACAACTGCAAAAAAATAAAAATAAATAAATAATAGTATTGTTCCGGTCAACCGGCCGGACATCCGAGAGGATGTCTGGGCAAACCACTGAGTTGACCAAAAATTTAAAAATTATTTACTTTACCAAACATATCAAAATATATTTTGAAATTAATTTGAAATCATAATTTGAAAATTCAAACTAAACATAATAATAAAATATAAAGGTAAAATTAATTTTAAAAAACTCCATCAAACACAGTCTTATATTTTTTTTATAACTTTCTAGTCTTTTACAAAACTAGAAGACCCAAAAAAAAAATTGCGCCTGACAGTTTAGTGTGAGGCAATTTTGTCAGGTTTCTCAACTCGGGATGATGTAAACAAAAAAATATGTTTGTCATGGGAAGTGTGTGTGAGTGCGTCCTCTACCTCAGCAATTCTGTCTTTAGAAATTTTTGTGTACTTCACTAATAAAGTAAGGCTTCGTTTGGGAAGTTATGGTTTGAATTTTTTTAGTTATTTTAGTCACAAAAAATAAAATAGGTTATTCTAGTCATAACAAACAAAATATCACATCCAACCCATAATCATTACATTCTTCTCTCACAAAAAAACTCAAAAAAGCCAAAAAATCAAAAAGTCCTTTCCAAATCAAGCTTTTAAGCCCAGGCTAAAATAGTCAAAAAAATCAAAAAGCCAAAAAGCCAACTCACTTCCCAAACGGAGGCTAAGTTAGATAATTTTGCATTATCTTTAAAATAAAAAATGGTAAATATATATTATTAAAAATAAAAATTCATTTGATGAATACAAGAACATGTTACATGTGGTGTTTCGAACACCTGTGATATTGAAGTTTTTTCGTTTGACACGTAATTTGGTAGACGAACCATTGAAGTGGAACCAAAGTTGGGCTTGGGCCGAATTAAATGAGTTGCTCTCTCTTTAGATTCGAGAAGGGTTGAAGCCCTTGTCCATAGGACGATTATGGATAACCTGAAGCCCATGTTGAGTTTGGTTGATGATCATACAAGAGGTGAGGCAGACTAGAGAGTTTTTTTCTCCCTAAATTTGTGTCATCTATAAACGATTAAAAACCTCAAGGGTTGCGTTGGTGGTCAAGTCTTGAGATTTGGAAGTGTGCTCCTTCCTACGTATCAAGTTTAAAGCATTCTAAGTAAAAACAATTTTTTAAAGTCAATCCACCGAATTTTTACCTCAAATCCCCACAAGTATCTTCATATCCTTCTCACAAATTGCCACTCACCTTTGGTCAATTTAGTCAATGATTAGCTAGATTGACTTATCTTTTCTTGCTTGGGTTTAAATTTTGGCAGTGGCTTTGGTCCAGTTCAAGATCGGACTGGACCATGCTGTTGGGCCCGTGGAGGTCCATCACGGGTTCCATTTTGATAATTCAAATCGTTCAATGTAGAACTTGTCGAGTACTATATGCCTGTAAAAAATCACGTTGATCAGATATCGATAGCTATGTTAACAAAACAGTTTTTTATCAACCGTTAATTGTTTCACTGTCTATTTTTTTTATACAAAACTGATTTGATCACATAGCAATTTATATCCGATCAACGTGATTTTTTACAGGCATATAGTACTCAACGAGTTCTACACATTGAACGGTTCGAATTATCAAAACGGATCCAAAAAATGGGCCCCATGGACCGAACTGGACGGGTCCAGTCTTGATCTCAACTTTAGACAAGCTGGACCCTAAATTTTAAGAAATGATTTAGAGCTCTAAATAATAAGCTCTAAATCCACCACTAGTGAGATGGAAAAAAAAAAAAAAACAAAAACAAAAACAAGCACACATTGGGACCCACTGTCACATCATTAGTGGTAGCACTAATTAGAGCTCTAAATCATTTCTCTTAAATTTTTTATTTAAAAATAAATAAATGAAAATAAAGAGTAGAAAATTTGCGTATTAATTTTTGAACATAAAACATGAAATAAAAAAAGTTACCAACAGGCTATACTATACAATTTTCTGATCCACTCTTTGGGTTTCGGGATCCGACAATTTGATTATGGGTTGTCCGTAAAAGGTGATGATG